CCCCCCCCCCCATTTCCGCCTATGCCTACGTCGTACAAACAAAGATAATTTTCTTAACTTTAAGATTGATAATGGGTCAATTCGTTCTATATAATACTAAAGCTGATAACACATAGTTGACTTCGTCGAACGGAAATGAGCTGTGCTGCGGCTCGTGGGCCTGAGAGAAAAAAGCAATAAACAGTGAGTTGACATCATCTTAAAATAATATAATATATTGTTGAGGAGAACTATGATACCGGTATTACTATGCATATATTTAATTAGTGGGAATCTAGAAAATACCGTTTGGCCGTCCGACAGTGTCGACGGGGCAAAAAAACCTTAAAACCGTTGGATATAAGACAAAATTAAAAAAGAGAAAAAACTCGGACATTATTATAAAATGACACCGCATTGTTGAAACTAGATTTACTTTAATGGTATACACACAAATAAACTAGTCACAGTGTAGGCGTATATTGTATATATTATATATATATATCCACTGAGGTAAAAAGTGGTCACGAATATTTCTATTACGATTTCGTGCTCATAATATTATGTATATGTATATTTTAGAATAGGTAGTGAAACCTCCGGGATATTATGGCGAACATCGACCAACTCAAAAAGAATGTCCATTATTAAGAGTTCCGCGTTATCCGGAGCTAGGGGTTTTTCATTGTTTGTTCGTAGGCGTGTTGAGTGTATACTATTTACGAAAGTGTAAAAGCATTGGTCACTTACTCTATATTATTACATTGTACGTTCGATGTACCTATATATTTATATAGTCAGTTATATAATACTCATTGTAATAATTGTAGAAAATATCTTAAACCATACTCGCCTATAATATACAGCCATATATTAGGTACAATGCCGAGCATTTTCATTAAAAAAAAATTAATTGTATACAATACAATTAATCGATTATAAAACAATAAATCAAAATATTTTATTCCCAATATTATAATAATATGTAATAATTAATTAATGATAAATAATAATATAATGTAACTACTGATTTCAAAACAGATACTTTAAAATATGTATAATTTGAAAGCACGCAGCTGGTATAATAATAAAGAGTTGCAGTAATTGAAATTTAAAACTCATGTGGCCGTGTAGATGAGGTTTGAACAAAAATAATACGTATATAGTTATATGAAACTGAATTATACCAATAGTTATTATTAAATACATTCTCTATTTTAATTTAGGAGATGATTAATAACCATGATTAAACTACTATTAGGAGGTTTCCTTTATATCCTATGCTACCTAGCTACCGCTGCTGCATTAAATAATGATGAGATAAGAACACAACAAAATGACGTTTCCCACCTTTGAAATATATATTATATATAATATGTGTATGAAAAAATACAGAATATTGATTGACAACGAACATTACATTATTATTATCGGTGCGTTGTTCGAGTTTCGCGTTTATTATGTTTCCGACCAAATATAATAAAAAAATATTAGTTATAGGTACCTACCAACGAAATGTTGAAATTCGTATTTGTTCGTGTCCGATGTCGAGGAGAAATACTCTTGTTCTGTGTCCATACCAATATTGTATATATATATCATTCGGGCCGTGGTAAATAGAGAGCTGCATATATCTCGTGTAGGCACCTATACATAGGTATATGTTTGACGATAACATTGTTTGGACCATCACTAAGCGTATGCAAGAAACCATAAATTAAACAATAGAACGCGCACGAAATTGGCGTACGACTTGAAGGACTTGTGCACCCGTTTACGAACAATCGAGTAGAATAGGAGCGGACAAAAAAAAAAATTAGAACGCAGTTGTACAATGATAACAATATATGATTGAAGGGCACCCTTTTATGGGAAAAACGGACTCGTTTAAAAATACCGATGCCGACCGCAGCAGAATATAATAGCGCCGTTCATCATAATAGTTATTTGTCGTAATTATCATAATTTTTCAAAGCAAAGTACAAATCACGCGAAAAAGGATATATTCATAGCTGGGTCCACCATCATTATGGATGATCGATTTCGACATTTTTTTTTCTAGTCATCTCGCGCACGCGCTTTGCCCCATCGGCTCGGTTTATTCACTCGATTCGTACTTATACGAATAATATTGTCATCCCGGGTACGATCGCCAGTGACAGACTACGCCAACGATGGGATATCGGAGCTTTTTTCCGAGGTGGGTCCCAGCTGGCGTCTGGTAGCGGGCAGCGGGCAGTTCGCACAAAACAATAATTATAGAGGCATTCCTGATTATGATAGCTGCGGGGAAAAATGTTTTGAACAATATCGATGTCGAAAACGTCGTTATATTGACATTGGAAAAGTAAAAAGTGATTTATTACATTAAAAAAAAAACTATCAACTTATTTTTTTTAAATCTAATATTATTTTCTGTTTTTATCAAGTGCAAAATATGAATAATTTGTTCGATGTTTAGTAATTACTCAATATTGAGGGTAATATTATGTTCTATTC